GAAGGTTCAAGTCCTTGCCATGCCCTCGTAATGGTTTTAAAGCAAGGCAAGACCAACAAGTTTGGGCGCGTGGAGGTTGCTGGCTGTATGCGCAACAAAAACGTCAACATCTGTCCTCAAATGATGCTCGCTTGCTATTTGTTCAGTCGCTACGAGATAACCGGGGAACAATTTCCGGGTATCAATAAGAACGTGGACTGGTTCCTACACAAAGTGATCAAGGCGTCGCCGACAGCTCCTGAAAAGGAGATGTCATACAGCCAGCACCTCAAAGCAATCACCAAGGCTTTCGAGGGAGCCTCGCTTCATTCGAAAGCCAAGACACATGCTATGCGTGGCGCCGCTGCTCGGATGGCAGAGATTGGTGGCTCGAGCGAGGGCGCAATTCGTCGTGCAGGCCGTTGGAACACCAGCTCTTTGACGACCGCCTACCTCACCAACCTCCCCCACGAACTCCTGCGAACTCTTGCAGGTTTTCAAAAGGAACGTGGCTTTTTTTACCTTCCTTGCGCCAATGTTGAACCACCGGAAGAACTGCGCAAGCAAATCTTCAAGTTTGTCGATTACTGGCGTCAAAGGTTAGATGAAGGCAGAGTTGAAGAAGTATCTTGCGCCGCCGACATGCTTTTGAAGCTGTTGGATGAGCTGCGTGTTGTCTTTCTGCAGGATTCCGTTCTTCTTAAGAAACAGTATCCTCAGCATTACCTTTGGAACCATCCTTTGTTCCAAAGCGAGTTGTATCAGCTGTTCGAAAGGTAACTATATTGAGAATCATATATAGTGTGTTCTTATCCTTTTAACGCCTATTTGTTAGTTCTATTGAGGCGGCTGTACAAGAGACAGAAGAGCCGGAGCAGATGCGACTATGAAGGACAGTTCCCGAGATCGCACATCAACTCTCTGATCTCAACCATCAGTTCGCATCGCGTTTTGAGGCACAAGCTTGACACCAACAAGCGCAACATGAGGCTCACATGCAAGTCCTCCAGTCACTGCTGTCTGCCATCACACCTTTGCAAGCGCTTGTTCCGCATATCAACAGCCTTGCTACATTTGCGCAGCAGCTAACAAGCTACACGTCTGGACAGGTGCCTTTGACTTTGACGCTAAACCTTGGCAACGCATCTCAGCAACAACAACGGCAACCACAACATCGGCAACCGCAGCAGCAGCCATCACAGCAACAGCCTCAACAGCAGCAACTAGAGCAGCAACCAGAGCAGCAGCAGCAGCTAGTAGAGCAACAACTTCAACAACAACAACAACCGCTGCAGGATACAGCAACCATCTCTCTTCCCTTTTTCCCGCCACCACCACCTGTGCAAAGGATCGCACTCGCGACGCACACATCTGCATCACCATCAGCATCATCAGATCATCCATTGCCTACACCAGAGTACAGAATGTCACGCCATACTGTAACGCTTGATATGCTTTGGCGCGAATGGTACCATGGCTTGGCTGGTGGACCTGCAGTTGATGAATTGGAGCGCGAGCACGGCGTTGCGTGGCGGCGAGCAGAGTCAGAACGCCGATTTTATAACCGAAGACGTATAATTATCGATAACATCAGAGACTATGCCACTCAACACAGACTGACCAACGAGGCAGCTGTCACAATCCTAGAAGCGAAAAGAAGCAGACAAAAAAGAACCTTGCATTGGATTGCTGAAAACCCAAATCTTTTCTTCAATAACTAGCTTTCACATGCTCCCACTCACACGTCTTTATATTTTCCGCTTCTCTCGCTCTCTCTCTCTCTTCGCTTTTGCTCTCTACCTCTCTCTCTCCATCATCTATATGTCTCTTCGTTACCACTCTGCCTCTGCTGTTCTGCTAATTCTCTGTTGTGTCTCTTTGTCATTCTGTCTCTCTCGCTCTCTCTCTCTATCTCTTCTTTTACTATCCCAGCTCACTTATACAACGCACACATACACATTACATTTATTAACGTTATTTCACATGCGTTTGCATCATATCTTTTGAACTTTTCCCTCACCCTCACCTCTTTTACATATTATAGATTTCTTTTCACCTTCAATTTCTGCTTTTGCTCTTCATTAGTCATAGTCGCCTCTTTTTTCTACCAGCTTCGACTTTCTTTTATTCAATAACATTAACGATTCAGCCATTACAGATTTCCAAGCATGATTATTGTCATTACTAACTAATCGATAAAAGTAGCATAAGTACGGGTTTCACCGACTGCAGGCATTTATTTTCGAATTTAAAAGCTATCATACATCAGATATCACAAGAGTACTATAGCTTACCTTATTCTTATGTATGGACAATGGTGCGTGCTGCATTTTATGTTGTCTAAGACCAGACTGTTTATTGCAATGATGTTATATAAGGACGACGTGAAACAACTGCGCAACTCGTCGATGCTCTAGATAATAGAGTGGCCAGTGTTCTTTTGCGTTCTAATTCTAAGAAACCGAAAACACCCGTGGTCAAAGAGATTAGCACCAAACTGTCCTCTGGCATAGTAGATACAGACTGTTATTGTTGCACTTGATTATCACGCACTTCTTCTATGGTGTCATGAACCATGGTGCTGTCCTCAAATGAGAATCTCATATCGATAAGATATTGATCGCCTTTTACTTTACCAGATTGTTTTTCTCTCTACAATCATGTTGATCGTCTAGTGAGTATCTATGGTAGCTTATCTGTTGTCTAGGTTTATTACAATAAGAAAAACATGCAAGAAACACTGGCGTTTAACTGTTTGCTCTCTATTGTACTTATATATGTTTTAAGGATCGTGTATAATTCTAACATTAAGTTAGTGTACCATTTTTATTACGATTTTCGCGGTCATCACGTAGAAAGATGTACAAATTGATTCAGTAATCGAAATGGTGAAGGTAGTTTTCAAGAGCAACCCCTTTAACAAAATTAGCTTCCGCTCATTGTAATGCAGTATGGACTGCTTTCTTTACGCTGGGGGACTTGGAGTGAATATAAATCACTTATTTATTCCCTTTGAGCAAGATAACTGGCTTAAAAATTGACCAAGTCCCGTTGGGTTTCAATTCCTGGGGACCTCGCTGGATGCAGTGGGACTTTGAGGTTTTATAAAAAATTATAAGTAATATAATTTTTAAGTGTTTATAATAAATCATGAAATTAATTTTTTTAATTAAAAATATATGGTAGTTAAATTTTGATCATCTGATCAAAATAAATTCCTGTTTCAGACAGGAATTTTAAACAAATATTAAGATGAGATTTTTTAAAAAAAGAAAAGAAATTAGTTTTTTTTAAAAATTAAAGGTATTTATAATTAATTTACAATTGTAAATTGTTTATAGAATCTTTAGGTTTACTCTATATATAGTAATTTTTCTTATTGCTAGAAAGAAAAAAAAACTTTTTATCATTAAGGTCTTATTGTCAAATTTTCTCCTAAGTTTTATAGAAATTACATTTTAATTAAATAGTATAGCAACTACTTATATATAATTATAGCTATTATATAGTCATTTATAATAAACCAAGATTATATTCATGTAAATATTTAGAAAGTAAAGTTTTTTGATTGAATTTTTCTATGGTAAGCCAACTATTATCACTTTCAGGATAGTCTTTCCATTTACATTAAATTTCATACAGTAAACCCCCGTTAAATACAACTGAAGATTTTTCTAATAAAGGTTATAATTAGTGAGGGTTGCATTTGTCGAAATGGATCAATGTTTAGGCTGTGGTCCCTGACCATTCGCTGAAAAGTTTTACCTCGAAAAAAAAGGAACTTATCATCACTTCCTTCAGTTTCTTGATCGTGCTCTTCTTTTGCATTATTATAATGGCCAAAACACGTCAAGAGCATCATAGAAAGAATGTATCATTCACCAATTATCAATGTCAGGAGCTGTTCAAGCATTACAAAGAAAAAAACAAAGTGAAAAAGTTTACCTATTCAATGTTAATTTCCTAGGCAACTACAAGGTTCAAACTTGAAAACTCTCCGGACAAGTCAACTATTTCAAGGCTTATTGCATACATGGAAAAGGAAGAGGAAGAAGGTGTAATTCATCTCGAAACCAGAAGCAGGCTTCAAAAGGGCAGATTTCCCATATGTTTCGATATAATTATAAATGCAATAATCAATTAAAACAGTATAATATTAACGAGCTCAAAACACATGGCTACAACGTATATAGGAAGTCGAGGATACTGTAATGCTGTGGTTAAACGTCGCCGAAAACAATCATATCCTGGTCACTTGGAGCATGGTTCATACTAAGGCGGTTAACTTTGCAGAACGCTTGGGCAAGGATTTCAAAGGGTCGAACGGGTGGATGCACCATTTTGCTCGACGTCATGGGCTACATAAACATACACTTCATGGTGAAGACGAATCTGTTGACGTGAATGCCATTCTCGAAAACAGGGACAAAATACGCGACAAACTTTCTCAATATGATCGACGTGATATATAGAATATTGATGAAACAGCATTGTTCTTCACTGCCCAGCCTTGGACTACCATCGCCCAAAAAGGGTTCTCTAGATTCAAGGAAAACAAAAAACGGCTCACGGTTGCTCTTTTGTGCAATGCAGACGGCTCAGAAAAATGGGAACCGATGATAATTGGCAAACACAAGAAACCTACATGCTTTGTGGACTCGACCGGCAAGTGAAAAGAAGCGTACGAGCTCGGTTTCGGTTTTACTTTTATAATCAAAAGGCATCGATGAAGCGAAACATTTTCGAGCACTATATCACGCGTTTCGATAAAGCCATGCGTTACCAAAATCGACGTGTCTTACTTGTTCTTGACAACTTTAGCGGCCATGCTATTGATGCTGTGCTCACGAATGTCGAATTATTTTTTCTTGCTGCCAAACACTACTGCAAAGCTACAGCGGCTCGATGGTGGGATCATCCGAGCTTTCAAAGCTCATTATAAACGAATGCAATTTGACAAGGCCTACTGTCAAATAAGTATGACACAAATAGGTCGTCCAGAAGTCGTTGGTCTGGTTGAACAAAATTGTTCGATGTCAGCCAATTGCAAGCCATGAGGTGGACAATATCAAGCGAGAAACAATTGTCAATTGCTGAAATGCTAGTATTCATCGAATGACGGCGCAAGAGGACGACGCATCACCTGAAGCAGTCAATGCCATTACGCATCAAGACCTTTTCATGCAGCAACATTTACAACAACAAATCGAACAAATTGCGTCCATCGCAAATATCAGCATCGACAAATGTCCAACATCTGAAGTTGATCCTGACCATGAACGCCAGATAATCCATGGCAATTACAGTGACGATGAAATTATAGAATTAATTACAGAGGACATGCAACAAATATCTATCAACGAAGAGTCTACAGCCACGGAATCCGCCAACAATCAAGCACCAACATTGTTAACTTGTCTGCAAGAGAAAAGGCAACGGCCATGCTTAACCTTTTTCATATTTTTGATGCCGAAGATAGTTTGGATAATGACATTGTTGCTGCACTTACAGCACTTACAACCCTCCGTACCAAGCTTGTACAAGAATTATACAGCCAACAATCCCGCTTGACGCGATTTTTCTCTTCTTCCAATAGAAATTAACATATAATAAAGGACAAAGCTGATTAAATTTTTAATATCAACACCCTTCCGATGTGGTGAAGTTTCATTAAAGCGGAAAAGTTGCAAATTCACTATGTTTTGAAAAGCTTTTTTCTGAAAACGTTGATATTGATGAGGGTTGCAATTATAGGGGGTGTATTTAACGGGGGTTTACTGTACATTTTTCTTTGGTTTGTGGCGGGCCGGAATAAAAGGTTTACAAGTAGCATAGAACAAGGTGCAAGCGAAAAAGGATAAGCACGCGTTGGGAACCAGTCATCTATGCCTTATCGGCGAGTTTCGGTCCATCAAGCCTGCAACCGCTTATTACCCCCACCTTCTCCCCGATCACCCGCATTCCACCCACACCCTCCCTCTCAGCGGTTCAAGACCGGTCCTGTGCTCCAGCTGTCTCCGCTAAAAGAGTGAGCTCTTGTATTTTGTTTCCCCTCAACTTCTCGCCATGACTTCTCCATTGGTAAATATAAACAAGGCAACAATAAGAAAAAAACGGCTGGGGCGAATCTTTAAACGTGTATAAAACCTTTTACTTCGTCTATAGAGTTCTACGAGTATTGAGTCAATGAAGTTTGTATACCCCAATCACTGGAATGGAGCGCGATCAGAACTTATGCAGCTGGTAATAAAATGAGAGCTCATTCGTAGCAAAAGAGTAATAAAACTCATTCGTCCCAATCGTGGTTTGTCTTTTTTTTTTAGATACCCGGTCCACAGTATATCCCTTCGCAACTGTATAAAAAGAACGGGTTCTTTCTGCTAAAGTCGCTCGGTGCACTGTTTTTTCTCAACACGATACTATACTGGTTTTTTTAAGAGTGGACCTTAGGTTCGGGACGACAAGAAAAAGCAATGACAGATGACGACTTGTGGTAATATTAGTTACTGCTGCTGCTGTTGTTGCTGCCTAAGACCTTATTCTAACAATGACGACCGACAATTGACGACTTTACCAGCTGCAAATTACTACAGAAGCAGTTCACTATCATCAAATTAGTGTTGTAGATAAACGACTGTCAAATTATATAAAAACATCTCGTACTTGAGGACATTTTTACGCTGATTAACTGAGGGCTATCATTTGATTTATATACATAGGCTTATTTTTGTACAGTGTATAATAAATGGAAAGGAAGAGAGAGATACATGTATGTAATCCTTAGAAGAAGTTCTTGCCAATTTAAGCACGCACATCCACAGCGGTGCGATTGTCAACAATGGCACGACGATTGATACCACCGGCGACTGGAAGATACGTTTTTCCTTCTAGCCACAAGTCAACCTCACGCGCACATTGTCTTCCTTCATTGATACCCCAGACAATGAGCGATTGTCCACGCCGACAGTCGCCAGCAGCAAACACGCCTGGCACGGTGGTGCTATATTTGCCCTTGGGTGTTTCAATGTTAGTGCGAGCATCCTGCTTGAGCGACAATTGATTGACCAAAGATTCTTCAGGGCCCAAGAATCCCATCGACAATAAGACAAGATCCGCCTCAAAGAACTGTTCCGATCCTTCGACCTCTTTCATTGACCAGCGACCTGTGGTGCCATCCTTTGTCCATTCCACACGAACCGTATTAATTCCAGTCACATTGCCGTCAGCATTTTTAGTAAACTCCTTGGATAAGACACAGTATTCCCGTGGATCTCTGCCGAAATGGGCTTGCACTTCAGAATGGCCATATTCAACTCTAAAGATCCGAGCAAATTGGGGCCACGGATTATCGCTGCCGCGCGTGTTGGGCGGTTGTGGCAAAAGCTCAAAGTTGATCACCGATTTGCAGCCATGACGGACAGATGTGCCAATACAGTCGTTACCGGTATCGCCACCGCCAATCACAACAACATGTTTATCTTTGGCAGAGAGGTAGTGTCCGTCCTCGAGGTTTGAGTCCAATAGTGACTTGGTGTTGGCTTGCAAGAACTCCATTGCGAAATGAACTCCATTCGCATCGCGTCCAGGGATCTTCAGGTCACGTGGCCACGTAGCACCCGTAGCAATAACAAGAGCATCGTTCTCGTCGCGCAAGCCGTTTGCATCCATATCAACGCCAATGTGTGCATTAGGTACAAATGTAACACCCTCTGCAGCAAGCAGATCTATACGGCGCTGTACGACGTTCTTGTCGAGCTTCATGTTCGGAATGCCGTACATCAAAAGACCGCCCATGCGATCGTTGCGGTCATAGACAGTAACCGAGTGTCCAGCCTTGTTCAATTGATCCGCAGCAGCAAGACCAGCTGGACCAGATCCAATAATGCCGATTTTCTTGCCTGTTCGATTTGCAGGCGGTTGAGGAACAATCCACCCTTCTTTAAAGCCATGATCAATGATCGCGCATTCAATGCTCTTGATTGCAACTGCGGGCTCATTGATAGAAAGAACACAGCTGTTTTCACATGGCGCAGGACTGCAAAAGGTACAGGAGGTTGGTTAATCCGGGTCAGAAAAATATCACTCCTTTTTCTAGAGCAAGGAAAAACATGGCTACTTACCAGACACGACCAGTAAATTCAGGAAAGTTGTTGGTCATGACAAGACGGTCAAGAGCGTCTTTCCAGTGATCCTTGTAAATGAGCTCGTTCCATTTGGGGATGATATTACCAATAGGACAGCCTGTATCCGACTGACAGAACGGTACACCACAATCCATGCACCGAGCCGCTTGTTCATGTAACTGAGGACGGGTTAATCGGTGGTTGATTTCTTTCCAATCATCGGTTCGTGCCTTGGCATCTCGATAAGGGTCAACACGACGTTTATACTTCATGAAACCACGCATCTTGTCCAATTTCGTGCGTCGTTCCATAATCGCCTTTTCATCCAACAAACTATCCTCAACATCATCAATAGTAGGCTCATTCTTCTTTGTGACCATGTCTTGCTGAATCGTTGTTGTTGTTGTCGATGAGGCTTGCTTTTGTTTTTCCAGCAGATGACGGTACTCTATCGGCATGACTTTGACAAACTTGGACAAGTAGGTATCAAAATTTTGTAATACCTCGGCAGCCTTTTGCGATCCTGTGTAGTGTTGATGGTCTTCAATGAGCTGTCGCACCTCGTCGATCTCTTCCTGCGTGTCGATGGTCTCGAGCTCCACCATTTCCATATTGACTTTTTCTTTCAATGCGCTTTCCATGTCCAATACATAAGCAATACCGCCAGACATGCCGGCTGCAAAGTTTCTGCCTGCGTCGCCAAGGATCACTACACGACCGCCTGTCATGTATTCACAACCGTGGTCACCAACGCCTTCCACAACCGCACTGGCACCCGAGTTACGTACACAGAATCGTTCGGCAGCAACACCGGAAAAGAATGCTCGACCGCCTGTCGCGCCGTACAAACAAACATTGCCAACAATAATGTTCTCGCTGGCATTGAACGTGCTTGCACGAGGAGGATAAATAGCAACAGTACCACCGGATAGACCCTTGCAAACGTAATCATTGCTATCGCCTTCCAATTCAAAAAAGATCCCCGGTGCCAAGAACGCACCAAACGACTGACCGGCAGATCCGGTAAACTTGACATGGATCGTATCTCCAGGCAATCCATTTTCACCAAACCGTTTCGAGACATGATAAGAAAGCGTGGCACCAACAGCACGATCCGTATTGACAATGTCGGAATCAATATGCACCTTTTCTTTGCGCTCGAGCGCTGGTTCGCTCTCATCTACAAGATAATTGTCGAGACGCGTGTATAGATTGTGTTGCTGCTTGCGGACGCAAAAAGTGGCCACGCCAGGTCGCAGTGTGTGTGCAGGTGTCAGGATAGGTGACAAATCAATGTTGGCAGTCTTGTACGTCCGCAAACTGTCGTTGGTTTTAAGAACTTCCGTATGTCCTACCATCTCGTTGATCGTCCGAAAACCGAGTTTGGCCATAAGACCACGTAGTTCTTCAGCAACGTAGTGAAAAAAGTTGATGACATGCTCTGGATGACCTTCGAACTTTTTTCGCAATTCGGGATCTTGGGTGGCAATACCGACTGGGCAAGTGTTCTAAAATTCTTACTTTAGTAAATAATATACACAAGGTTTTTTTTATATAGAAAAAAGAGAGAGAGAGAGAGACAAGGTCATTACCAAGTGACATTTACGCATCATGATGCATCCAAGAGCAATTAAAGGTGTGGTGGCAAATCCCCATTCTTCAGCACCCAACAAGCAGGCAATGGCAACATCACGACCTGTTTTGATCTGACCATCGGTTTGAACAACGACGCGACCCCGCAAATCGTTAAGAACAAGCGTTTGATGTGTTTCAGCCAACCCCAGCTCCCAAGGCAAGCCGGCGTATTTGATACCCGTCCATCGTGAAGCGCCTGTACCACCATCATGACCGGAAATCAGGATATGGTCTGCCTTGGCCTTGGCTACACCTGCAGCAACGATGCCGACGCCGACTTCAGAGACCAGTTTGACGGATACGCGTGCGCGTGGGCTAGAGCTCTTGAGATCATAAATAAGCTGTTTCAAATCCTCGATCGAATAAATATCGTGATGAGGCGGAGGACTGATCAAGCCAATACCCTTATCAAATAACAGAACTTGTTAGTTGCTTGAGAGAAAAAAAAATTTCTCCCTCTTCCCTTTTCATATGAGCAAACACTTTACCGGTGTTGTTTTACGAGTACTGGCAATTTCTTCAGATACTTTTGTACCTGCCAACTCACCACCTTCACCAGGCTTTGCGCCCTGGGCCATCTTGATCTGCAACTCGTCAGAATCCGACAGATAGTAGCTGGTGACACCGAAACGGCCGGATGCCACCTGTTTGATGGCTGACCGAAGATTGTCACCGTTGGGTCTTGGTATCGATCGTTCTGGCTTTTCACCACCTTCACCGGTGTTTGACTTGCCACCGAGTTTGTTCATCGCAACAGCGAGCGACGCATGGGCTTCCATGGAGATGGAGCCATAAGACATGGCACCAGTAACAAACCGTTTGACGATATTTGTCCATGGCTCGACTTGATCCAGCGATATAGGCTTGAATTTCTCTTCATCAAATTCCAGCATGCCACGCAACGTGCATTGGCGGATAGCTTCATACGCATTCCGAGCATACGCCTCATACGAGGCCTGGTTATCTTTCCGGACAGCATCTTGCAAGTTTGCCATACCGACAGGATCAGCAATATGCGGCTCGCCACCGTCACGCCAATGGTATTCACCCGATTCGGGCAATGCCAAAGGTTGCACACGATTGCGGAGTGGATATCCGGCTTCATGCAACGTCAATGCGTCCAATGCAAACGTGTCAAAAGTGATGCCCTTGATACGTGAGGCAGTGCCGGCAAAACATCGGGAAATGACAGTGTGGTCGATACCGAGGGCTTCGAAAATCTGTGCGCCTTTGTAGGATGCCAAGGTCGAGATACCCATCTTGGACATGACCTTGAGGATGCCGTTGTCGGCGGCCTTGCGATAATTGTAAATAATTTTCTCCGGTGTAAGATCGTCTCGGACAGCCCGTTCTCGGTGGAGTTTGAGCATGGCTTCAAAGGCAAGATAAGGACATATGGCATCCGCACCATATCCAAGCAGGACACAAAAGTGATGTACCTCGCGTGCCTCACCCGATTCGACCATCAATGCGATTCGGCTACGCAACTTGTTGCGTACAAGGTGATGGTGCACACCGCCCAAGGCAATCAAGGAAGAGATGGCGACGCGGTCAGCTCCCATGGCACGGTCGGACAAAATAATCACTTTTTTGTGCTGGTCGATCGCTTCGGTCGCTTCGTTACATACACGTTCCAACGCTGTCAAGTACCCGTCCACACCTTCTGTGCGTGCAAAAGTAATGTCGATCGTCGCTACTTGCCAGTCCGCATAGTGTTTCTCCATTCCCTTGATAGCCGCAAACTCTTGCATGGATAAAATGGGTGACGGCAGAGTCAACCGTTTGCATTGTGACGGCTCAATCTCTAGCAAATTGCCCTCCGGTCCAACATAGCATTCCAATGACATTACAATTTCCTCGCGGATCGGATCTATGGCGTGGATGTAAAGATTGCCTCGTTTTAGATTTCAAAGTATATTATCAAACTTACGAGTCTTTAAATAAACGTACCAATAGGCGGGTTAGTCACTTGAGCAAATAGCTGTCGAAAGTATTCGTATATGAGACGCGGCTGCTTGGCAAGACAAGCGAGCGTTGTATCATTGCCCATGGATCCAAGTGCCTCTTTGCCGTCGGATGCCATTGGCATAAGCAGCAGGTTGAGTTGTTCGAGCGTGTATCCAAAGGCTTTCAAGCGAGGATCGGTGTGAATGGTGTTATCATCCAACTCAACATTGGTTTCATCCTTGTAGCCTTTCACAAGATCTTGCATGCTGATACGTTGTTGAATCCATTCTGTGAATTTCGCCTTGGCCGCCGTTGTTAGCTTCAGCTCTTTGTCATCCTATACATTCAGAAAGAGAGAGGAAGCAATAATTATGTGAGAGACTGACATAGACAAGTAGTTGGGTGTCATATATATAGATATTTATATACACAGCCATGATAGCAGGAATAAGTAACACCTTACCACAATCCTTCCTTCGACCGTATCAACCAACAGCATTTTTCCAGGTTGCAAGCGACCCTTTTTGACCACGAGTTCAGGATCCACACGCAATGTGCCGACCTCAGAAGCACAGATCATGATATCTTCGGAGGTCAAATAGAATCGACAAGGACGTAGCCCATTACGGTCCAGGGAAGCGCCACAATAGCGACCATCTGCAAACGTGAATAGTGCAGGACCATCCCAGGGTTCCATGATGGATGCAGCCCACTGATAGAATGCCTTTTTCTCTGGTTCCATCAAGGGATTGTTTTGCCATGCCTCGGGGATCATGACCATGACGGCTTCGGGAAGTGTCAAGACGCCGTTGACAACGAGGAGTTCGAGAACATTGTCAAACGCGGCAGAGTCGGATCCACCTTCTTCAATGATCGGGTACAACAACTCGAGCTGGTCTCCAAATGTGTCTGAAGTCATCATACCTTCCCGCGAGCGCATCCAGTTTTTGTTTCCACGCAATGTGTTGATTTCGCCTATTTGGAAAAAAGTTGTGTCAGTAACAACCCCTCTCTCTTTACAAAAAGTGATGAAAGCGAGAATTTACCGTTGTGTGCACACCAACGCATAGGCTGTGATCGATCCCACGATGGAAATGTGTTTGTCGAAAATCTTTTGCAAACAGACAGAAGCCAGTGTTATGAGAAGTGTACAAACACACACACACACACACACATATATATATATATATATATATATATACACGTAGCGTTACCTTGAGTGGACAAGTGCAAAATGGGTGGTATATTTGACATTGACAAGATCATAAAAGTAGGCATAGACCTAAAGCACAGAAGAATGAAAAAAAGGCAAGTCAGTGAAGGAGAAAACAATCTTGTGTGTTGTATGAACTCAAAAGGGCTACCTGACGCGGCGTAAGCTGGCCCTTGTAAACAATGTTTTTCGTCGACAGCGAACAGACATAAAACCATTTCTTCATTGTGATTGTATGCGTGGCATGTTTACGCAACAGATAGAGTTGACGCTCAAACTGTTTAGAATCCATCTTTTCACGAAACGAGACAAAGGGCTGCTCGATCGCAGGCTCTTTGGAGCGGGCGGCCGGACCCAAGATGGAGGTGTCTCGAGGCACTGTGCGCCAGCCAAGGACTTGCAAACCCAAAGCATCAGCCAGCTGCTCAAACACTCGCTTGCTCTCTTGCATGGTGTCCTGTTTCATGAAAATGTTGCCGACCGCATAGTGGCCCTCGGGTGGCAAGTCGATCGATAGCTCGCGCTTGACTTCGATGCGGAAAAAGCTGTCGGGCATGCCTGTCATCACACCACTGCCATCGCCATCCCGGATATCGGCGCCACTTGCACCACGATGCGTCATGTTGCACAGGAGGTCAGACGCGTCGCTTAGAATCTTGTGGGACCGGCCTCCTTTGATGTGCACTGTAAAGCCCACACCGCACGAGTCCTTTTCGTAGGTCGGGTCGTATAGACCTTGCGCTGCTGGAATGGCTTGGGCCCATGAAACATTTTCAGTGGGTTCCATCTGTTGTTGTTGTTGTCAAAGAGTAGGGGGGATAGTAGTAGTAGGATAATAATCAAGATAGGGTGAAAAAAAGAATAAGAAAGGGTGCTGTGCTGTTTTGTGAGCCCAGTGGGTGTGTGTGTGTTGTATTGGGATAGAGAGAAGAGGAAAAGCAAAGAAGAAAACAAGAAACGATTGTTTCTTATCGTCGGGCCTTCCCCAAATTTTCCGTGATTTATGCGTGATAAAGAACGAAAGCAAGGTCTCGTGGTGTGATGAGATAGCGTATCTTCCTCCGTGTGTGTTGTGCATGTGCAGCTTTCCCTCCCTCGCTCGCTCTGTGTGTGTGTATTTCTTAAAGATCTTTTGTAAAGATTACTTGGGCTTCTTGTTATCGTTCCCGATGCGCGGGGTAACCACTCAATTATTATTCCGTCAGCACATCAGCATGATGTATTGTTGTTCAATCACTTTGTTTTTACCGATGCTCACTTTTACTGTTTCAGAAAGGAAGAATCTTATTCGGTAATCAAGCAGGAAAGAAGAGCTCTTTCTCTCTCTCTCTCCCTCTTCTCTCCTCACACACACACACAACACTACTTGTTCTTGATCAGAGAGATCCATCCACCAATAATCATGGTTAAAGTAACAACTGTGCCAACACAACCCTACAACGACCAGAAGCCAGGCACTTCCGGTCTACGCAAACGCGTCAAGGTGTTTCAGCAAAGGAACTACACCGAGAACTTTATCCAATCAATCATGCACGTCATTGAAGGCGGCAGTGAGGGCGCCACACTGGTGGTAGGCGGCGATGGTCGGTACTACCTTGACGAGGTGATGCAGATCATCATCCAATTCAGCGTAGCCGCGGGCATCAAGAAGCTGATCATACCACAGCACGGTCTTGTCTCGACCCCGGCCGGGTCTCACTTGATCCGGAAATACAAGGCTACGGGTGGCATCTTGTTGACCGCGTCCCACAACCCTGGCGGCCCGGACAAAGATTTCGGTATCAAGTACAATGTACGCAACGGAGGCCCCGCGCCTGAAAATGTCACCAACCGAATCTTTGATATTTCGAAATCGCTCCAGCAGCTTACGTATGCTGCCGATATGCCACGCGTCGACTATGGTACGATTGGCACGCAGACCCTGGGCGACACATTGGAGATCCAAGTCATTGACAGCATCGATGACTATGTCGACTTGATGAAAGAGATCTTTGATTTTGGTGCCATCCGCTCGTTCTTGGACAAGAACAAAGACACGTTCAAGGTCTTATTTGATGGCATGCATGGCGTCACGGGCATCTATGGCGAACGGCTGTTTGTAAAAGAATTTGGATTGGCCAAGGCGTCGTGTCTGATGCGCTCCACGCCTTTGGCGGATTTTGGGGGCGAGCATCCAGACCCGAACCTCACGTATGCGCACGAGCTGGTCGAACGGGTGGAGAAAGACCAGATTGATTTTGGCGCAGCATCGGATGGTGACGGCGACCGCAACATGGTCCTGGGGAAGCATGCGTTTGTGACACCCAGCGATAGTGTCGCCGTCATTGCACACTATGCGCTTGACGCTATTCCTTATTTTCGCAAGAACGGCGGTGTGCATGGGCTAGCGCGGAGCATGCCCACATCACGTGCATTGGATCTCGTTGCACAAAAGCAGCAGCTGGAGCACTTTGAAGTCCCCACGGGGTGGAAGTTCTTTGGCAATTTGATGGATGCTGGCCGTTGCTCCATTTGTGGCGAAGAGTCCTTTGGCACTGGCTCGGATCATGTTCGTGAAAAAGATGGTGTCTGGGCCATTCTGGGTAATGCTTCTTCTCCTTCTTCATGTGTCGTTTTGTCAACAAAAAAAAAAAAAAAAAACCTTACTTTTTCTCTTTTTGTTTTGCAGCATGGCTCAGTATCGTTGTGCATGTCAACAAAACAAAGCCAGGAGCAGGTGTCTATGACATCTTACAAGACCATTACAAGATGTACGGCCGCAACTTTTTTTCCAGGTCAGAAACTCTCCTTCTTCTCTTTTTATTTAGAACCTCCCCTATTGACTGTGTGTTGTGTTGATCCAAAAAATAACCAGATACGACTATGAAGAGGTCGATGGGCAAAAAGCAAACGAGCTGATGCAACACTTGCGGGAGCTCAATATCAATGGCCAAACATTCAATGGATTCACCGTGTCCGAGATTGACGATTTCGAGTACAAGGATCCTATTGACGGCAGTGTATCAAGCCATCAAGGCATGCGGGTCATGTTCAAGGATGGTTCCCGTTTCGTTGTACGGCTGTCAGGCACTGGATCACAGGGTGCTACGATTCGTCTGTATGTCGAAAAATACAGCAACGATCCATCGGAATATGCCACGGAGACACAAAAGGCATTGGAGCCTTTGATCCGTGTGGCGTTGGATATCTCGCGTCTTGAACATTTTACCGGAAGAGACAAACCAACTGTCATTACTTAAAAAGAATTTATTTAATAAAGAGGCGCTGTTACACATTTCGTAGCTCACTGTGTTACCGTTCCTTGCTTCATTATATGCCGCTGCAAACGCAAGAAGAGTGGTCACGAATGGAATAAGATAGGGTGATCGAAGCTGGTGGTACGTGCACGAACGCTATTATATCCGCCGTTGCACCTTGTTGTTGACCAAAGGAAGCATGGGTCACAGTAGTATTTGTTATGCGTTTGACGTATTCTCTACCATTTACTACTGACTGTGAAATACCACCCTCTCGAATAAAAAAAAGGTTTTATACTGATCGCATGACCCAAACATATGCTGACGATGAATCTACAGATGGGAAAAAAGAGGGGGTGGGGGTCAGTGCGTCATTACTGACTGGAGAGCCTGGTGATGATGATGACTTTCGATTGATTGATTGATTGATTGATTGATTGATATATACAAACAACACACACAAGACCTGTCTATCAACTTTATTTGACATCATTGCTTTAACACTTGAGCTTTCTTGCTCTCAGGGCATGAAGAGGAAGGCAGGTGAACGTCGTCCTGGTCGTTAGATCCAACAGCAACAAATCGATCACGACAAGTTGCACTCTGTTCCCAAGCGTGTACACGGGCCAATCCCCCTTTTGTCTCGTAGTGTTTTACACAACGGTCACGGTGATACTGCAAAGGTGTAAAGTTATGCACCGGGGCTTGTCCAGCATCCCCTTCTTTTTTTTTTTCACTACTTTCATTGTTCTTTGTGTCAGAAAGGGTGGGAGAGGGGGTGCGGGATGTAAAGATTACGTAATGGTGCCAAAGGAGGGGTGGGGGCTGTGTGTTCGGACAATAACATAGCGGATCGGCCCGAAAAAAAAAAAAAAAAAAGAACGCCTTGCTTTTTTTTCGCATAACCCTTATTTATTTTTTTTTTCCCTTTCGAAACTTATATATAATGTCAGAAACGGAATCAAGTAGGACGACCACTGCTCCCACCAAAGAAAAATCATCACTCTCATTGCTTCAACATCGAGGATTATTAAACTTTCGAGATTTGGGATTGTCTTCCGGGGACAATCCCGAAGGCAAAAGGTATGGTAGTACTAGTACTAGTAGTAGTAAGGCGGAGGGTGTTTTTTTTTTACCTTCCCGACCAGACCAGCTCCCGGGCGGGTGGGTTTGCACTAAACAGGACCCAAGACCTGACTTTTTAAAGTAAACGTTTAGGTATATCAAAGAAGGACTCATCTTCCGATCGGCAACATTGGACAATTTAAATGAACAAGAAGTGGAAAAGTTTGTCCAAGAACATAATATTCGAACCATTGTCGATTTACGAACACGGTAAGAGAAACGGAGTTTTGTTTTTTTTTTTTTTTTACTATGGATTCCCGCATTACAATCGTCCTCTCCCGACAACCCCACCCCCTCCCCAAAGGCCTTTTCCCAGCCAACCAATTTTTTTCTTTTTTCCAGACGAGAAGGTAGTGACGGATCGGCTATAGACAAAAACTTTCCAACCAGTGTTCTTGAACAGGTAGAGTAAAAGCAAAAGGAGACATTGCTAATTAAACAACAACTCACATACAAATATATGCATGTAGATCAAACCAACGCATTTGCTTCCTGCTGCTGCTGCTGCTGCTGCAGCTGCTACTGGAGGAGATACGACACCTACAGTGACCGAAGAACGCAACGTGCTTACAAGAAAGAAATACAGGATTGCATTTACCGGGAAAAACTTTGAACGCAATGGGATTTTCATGTCATGTACACTGCGTCAAAAATTGTAAGTGTGTGTGGGCTGAATCTGTGCAGCGAGCTGCTTGCTGCCTTAACGAAGCACACTCTAATTGAAATACCATGTCAATTAGCCTCCTCGTCATGTTTCTACTGTTCTGTCAACGACACAAGGCCGCCGCATTGATAGGGCGCGAAGTGCTGTCCCCGATGGGGATCAGCAACATGTACCAAAAGCTCGTGACGTATTGCCAAGAAGAGCTGCTGCAGACCCTGTTGATATTTACGAATCCGGAAAACTACCCCATCCATGTCCATTGTACGCAGGGAAAGGATCGGACGGGTCTGGTGTCGTGTTTGTTGTTGAGCATGGCTGGGGCGCCAGAAGAGGTGATTGTGAGGGACTATGCAAAGACACAGGCTGGATTGGCACCGATAAGGAATGAAATGCTTCAGGATCTGAGACGGGTTGGGTTGTCGGATGAATTTGCGGATGCTCCTCCACAGGTGAGTTTTCGGTTTTTTTTTTTATTATGTGTTGACTATCCAACAAAGCTCACACTACTGTGTATAATCCACTTAAGAATATGCGCGGGTTATTGGAATATGTCAGGAGTTCGTATGGCTCTGTCCAAGATTACCTAAGCAGTATTGGATTTGACGAAAAGCACCAAGAACGTGTGCGCACCATCATTTGTCAACAGCAGTCGTAGTCATGATGATATTAGAAAGACAAAAGGTTCCCCGAGCTGGATATTGTTTTTATTTGTTTTATTTTGTGGCATGTCAATAACGGAAGAACCCGTATATACTGGGGAGCAAACACCGCCTGATAAAGGTGATGATGATGATGATGATGATGGTCGTAGTAGCTGCTGTTTGCTGCAGATCAGTTATCTTTCTTTATTTGGGGGGGGGGGGTGCGATTACCGGAATTTTGTGATGAACTCATAAAAAAAAGGTGTCAGTTGACACACCATGCCAACATGATGCCTGTTGCCAATGGAAACAATTGTTGCCAAGATACCTGTGCTTCTATAATTAAAGGATCCTCTCTCTCTCTCTCTCCAAGAGTAGGGCTATTATCCACAATGTAACCATGTCTACAAATGTATACAAGGGTGGGGGGGTGGAGGGAAGAGTATCCACCCCACCCCCGCCCTGGATGATGATGGACCCATACTCCCACACACACACATACCCTATTCCCCCGCAATATAGCATCACTATCCTCATCGTCATGTTGAACAGCAAAAAGCACTGTTTGGCTCTCTGGGGTGAGAAAAAAAGGGGGGAGAGAGAGAGGTCGCTAAAAGTTTCCACAGAGATAAGATCCGTCGGGGCAATCTGATTGGCTGACGCACTATTGCTCAGTTGCAGTTTGGCCCTTTCTTTTCCGGTTTTCCCCATCATTTCATTTTTCGAATAAAAATATCCCCCCGGCGAGTTCCTAAATGCGAATTTGAGAGGGAAAGGGTTTCTCTTTTTTTTTTTTTTGTCTCTCTTTTTTTCCTATTTGCATTATATAAAAAAGCTCTTTCTTTTTTTATTGCGTTCTTGCAGCCAAAAAAAAAAAAATTATACCCCCCCGAACCCCACCTACATATACGAAACAATGGCATCCTCTTTTACGGGCTTTGAGATATTGCCACTGACGCCAGACGAAGGCGACTACAACTACAACGGTCTAGACAGCAAAGAGCAACAAGAAGACTATGATCCGTTAGACGCTACAGCGACGACATGCAACTGGATCGACGACTCAGAATGTCAAGAGAACCTCTTTCAGATCGTCCCGCTGATGCCGGAGGAAACAACGATCGACAAGGACAACCATATCCACACGCATTTCAAGTTGTTTTTTGAAGAGCTGGGCTATCTGACCGAAGAGCCAGAGCCCATCGACCCTACAAGGGATTATGATGCAGAGGCACGACAGATGCTGGAGGAACGGGATCGAACTCGTCAAAAACATGTCCATGTCTCTCGCATGCCGTCCTTGTCTTATTCCGGCGTCTCGTCTACTTCTTCCTCGTTCCATCATCAAGAGTGTGATGTCCGTTCTCCGCTGTACATGGGCCATACGGGTGCAGATAACAATCAGCATTTCTATCAGCAGCAGCATCATCATCATCATCACACCCCATATCAGTCTGCTGCTCATCACCACCACCCACTCCATCCTTCGTCACATCATCATCATCATCATCATCCTCCACAGCAGCTACACAATCATGGACATCATCATGTTCCTCACCACCACCCGTCTCCTCTTCATCACACAACCACAGCGCCCTATGTACATTCTTCTCCCAATTCCACGTACCATCCTCATCTTCCGCATCATTCACATCATCCGCTCGCTGTGGCGCAAGACCATCCAGCGCACTGCAGCAGTAACGCCACTACCACTACTACTACCAGTACTACTACCACTACTAGTAATCGTCCTTCACAAATTCCTCACCATGCGTAAAAATACAAAAAACCAACCCCCCCTCCTTCCACATATATAACCCACCCTCCTCTTCCACGGTAACTCACTTATTTTCCACCAAAAATCAACGACAAACAAACATTTGCATATAGTCTTATTCATCTCCCTCTCTCTCTCTCTTTCTTCATTTAATAAATTGTCAAAAGTGAGCAACACACATACACACACTTATCATTTATACACCAAGAGAGAGAGAAAAAAAGAAGGTTTGGGTCTCAGCCGAATCACACATTACGGAGTCTTAAAAAAAAGATTGAAGGAAAAGAAGAGGTGGCGTTTGAAAAATTATTCAGCATACACGGCACACACACACACAAGAGCAAAAAAAGTTCCCTCTTTCCTCTTCTTCTTCCTTTCATCTTTTTCTTGTTTTTTTTTTTATACATAATTTCCTTTCTTTTTTCTTTTTTTTTCTTATATAATATTATTTCACATATACCCTGTTTTTTTTTTCTTTTTCCGTTTTCTGCGTGTTTTTTTTTTCTCTTTCCTTTTTTACGTTTGACTATCTCTCTCTCTCTCTGTGTGTGTGAAAACACCAAAAAACCCAACCAACGAAAAGCCGCTTATTTAGAGTCATCAACAAAACACAATGGACTTTGCCGACCTGTCTAAATACGACGACCTGTGCAGCGACGTCTTCCTGGATGCCCTGTTTCTATGGTTCAAAACCAGCAAGATGAATTCAGACCATCGCCGGCCACGTATTCCTTCTCACAAGGTGCTGGACATCATCCAACGTCGTGTCCAACAAGAAAGAAACCCAAACGAAGCTATTGCAGAACTGTTAACGTATGTCTCTCTTTTTATTATCATCAACAAGGGATGCGGTCCGGTGGTTGGTTGGTGTGTGTGTGTGTACTTTGTGTGGCGGTGTAACCCCCTCCCTCGTTTGTGTTCTTTGTTGCGTCGTGTGTGTGTGTGTGTACGAGCCCTTGTGCACTCTGTGTGTGTGTGTGAGTCCATGTTATCCGGAAAAAAAAATATCGCAACTTTTTTTTTTTTGGGTGCAGTGCATGCAACACACACACACACACACACACACGCGTGCTTTTTTTTTATCGCCTCTTTTTTTTAACAGGATAAGCACACACACACACACACACTTTTCAAGGAGATAGTAAACTAAGGGGATGGAAAGAAAAGGAAAAAAGGGGTGGGGGTGGGGGTTGTGCTGCTCGTAATGGGATATAAAAAATAAAAAACTAATCGTTTTTTTTTCTTCTTCTATCAGGATCGACTACTTTAGACATTACATCACCTCTAAATCACTCAAGCAAAGACAAGAGTTTGTGCAACACATGAAGCGCTATCTTTACATGTGAGTCCCGTTTGTTCTTTTTCCTGCTTGAAGTATGTACTCATGTCGAAAGAAAGGTACATGCCCAATGCAGGATACGAAATAAGCGACACACGACGGTACAAGGACCACGGCAAAAAAGTGGAGGCATGTTTGGTTGCTACCAAGGACTGGCATGTCGGCGACGAATTACGGCTGTGCACCGGAATGATTGCCAACTTGAATCCCAACGAGGATGCCCTGCTGAGGAAGGGAGAGAAGGATTTCAGCATAATGTGGTCTACGCGCAAAGGTTGCAGTTGTCTTTTTCTGGGTCCTGCTCGCTTTGTAAACGTAAGTACCCGTTTTTTCTAAATCCCTAGAGTAATCTTTTTAACACCAAAACTCTATTTCCGCAAAATAGCACGATTGTGACTCTAATTGCAAGGTAAGACACGCTACTTACTACCCATGGGAGGGACAACAACAACAGCAGCAGCAGCAGCAGCAGCAACAGCAAAACGTAGATATACTGATTGCGAATGGACGCATAGTTTATATCGCTGGGACAGAATTCAATCACGTTCAAGGTTGTCAAGGAAATCAAGTGTGGCGAAGAACTGACGGTCTTTTACGGCAACCATTACTTTGGCGAGGACAATAACGAGTGTCGATGTGCGACATGTGAAGTGTGAGTCTACCTTGTCCTTCTTTTTTTTTGTTCTCATGCTGCTGCGTCACCCATTGAGCGGCTGGCTATCTGTGATCGGGGCTGTGTTGGTTAACAAAGGATGGATAGGCATGGCGAAGGCTACTTCTCCTTACGACACTCGACCACGACGTCGTCTTGTGCTGAAGAAGAGACCGCTGATGGACGAAGAAGAAGCTCCCGTAAGCGAAAGTCCGCTCTCCATGACGGTATGTTGGTGTGTGCGCAAGAGAGAAAAAGATTGTGTGAGAATTTTTAGAGTTTCCCCAAAACAAATTTTTTCACACACTGAGATGGCTGACGTGAATTTATTTTTTTTTGTTTTTGTACATTTCAAGACTACGTGTCAGATCATATACCCCGTGCGGCCAAACGCACTATCACTACAACAACGTCCGCTCCAGCAACGGCAACGGCAACGACCACGACCACGACCACGACGGGTGAACGCAGGAACTCTTCTTCTGTCATGAGCATCGACTTTTTGTGTGGACGCGAACAGGAAGAACAACCAGGATCTTGTTTACCACAACAACAACAACAACAACAACAGACGGCAGCGACCAGTCCACTTGACTTGCTGTGCGATGCAGTGTTGGATGCAGAGAGTAATAATGAGAATAACAAGGAGCAGCTCATGACGGTGCTGGTGGGACCGACAGCAACAACAACAACAACAAGTAGTAGTAGTAGTAGTAGTGATAGTGCGGCCTCGACAAAAGATACCACCACACCCAGCGCGGTGTCTATATCCATGTACTACCAACAAGAGTCATCCTCTTCATCATCATCATCATCATCATCGTCACCACTGAGCGACGATTTGTCGAGTAACAGTGACACAAAAGCTGATTCCGCCGTCGGTATGTCACCTCATTCACATGGTTGGAAGGAAGAAGAACTGGACGATCCACCCCTACCTACTGCAACCACCACAACTACGATGGATTACGGTGCCTTGCTTCTTCTTCCCAAAGGCGAGGAGGAGGATCGTGATGATGGTTTGAGTGATTATCTGGATGATCAATCTGACCTGTCATCGATCGGATCGTCGGAACTGGCTGAAGCGGACTGGAGTGATGATGATGAAGAAATAGAAGACGATGATGACACTAGTAGTTGTAGTAGTATTAACAACAAAAAACGAAGCAAGTTATCATCGTCTTTTGCTGCTGCTGCTGCTGCTGCCTTCAACGGTGGTGGTGGTCATCCTGGTGCTGGTGGAATGGAGACAAACGAAAGGCTGACGTGCATTGCATGCAAGCGGGAGTTACGACGGGAGGAAATATCAGAACAGGTGGGATGCGACACATCGATCACTGCAGACCTGGTCACATGGACATGGACTCCGAGCGCTCTTTTCACCGATTGGCGGCCCAAACGGTGTCCCCGTTGTGAGCGTCACTTTACCCTTTTTGCTCAAGAATGGCCGAACCGGAAGGAGAAAAAGAAAAAGAAGCTTGTTGCTGCCACTCCTCTTAGCAGTAGTAGTAGTCCTAATACGACCACAGAAGCAGGAGATAGCAGCAGCAGCATCAAGTCGTCTAAAAAGAGCAGCAGCGTCAGTGGAAACAAGAAGCAGTCTTCGTCGAAAAAGAAATCTAGAGCAGCAGCAACCAAGCGTGGACAGGAACAAGAGAAGAAAAAGCAAAAGAAAAAGAGGGTCAAGGCCAAAGCAGCAGAAGCATTGCCGCCATTAAAGATTGAGACGACCGACGACGTGTTCGACAACGATGATCTGTTTTCGCCACTTCTCACCCCGCTTTCTGAATTTTCGGGTGACGAAGATGACCTGTTCAATGTTGCACTGTGAAAAAAGGGCCTTTCTCTCCTTATCTTTCATTATTCCCCCCCCCCCCTCCGCCCCTGCCAACCCCCTGGTGGCCTACATACATGAAAAGACGCGCCGTAAAAAAATCAAACCCATCTCCTCTCGTTTGTAAATAATTCTTTTTTCTTAGTAAGAGTAAGAAAAAAAAAGAAAAGAAAAGAAAGTTCCTTTATAAAAAATTGTACACATTTGCTTTTTCTTCTATTTTTGTAATATTTACAAATCCTTACAAAAAAAAATATTCAAAAAAAGGTGAAAGCTACAATACAGCCCATTTCTGGACAGTCTTGGTCACGTAATCCTTGAGTTGGCAAGAATCTTTCTCAACCACCGTGATCTCATCACCGACTGTGTCGACCAACTCCTTGTAAGCCGAATATTGAAGGGTAAACCAATCCAGTTGACAACCCGAAAAGGACCAGCCCTTGTCATCGACACGGACACATCCATTGTGGGTACGGCCGTTCGGGAGCTTGAGTCCGTCGAATTCTTTAATGTAGAGCTTGGTGCCTCGTTTCATGTCGTTGGAAGCAACGCTCACCCATGGTACAAGGCCATTGCTGTTGTCGCCCAGTCCGTACGGTGTCTCGCTGCGGTCGAGTTCCATGAAAACGTTCTTGTTTGCGCCCAGGTTGACCATCTTGCCACTCTTCAAAAGACCCGTGCCTTCCATTTGAAATTTCTGTATTTTTTTAAAACAAAGTTCCGGATGAATACACTTTTTTTTTTCTGGCAAAACCGTTGACAAGGTCATATATAGACTCACATCGTACGTCACAGACGCTACTTTGGCAATGGTTTTGCCGCTGATTGTTTTGAGACTCTTGGTCTTGGATCCAGTCAACTTGACCGTCTTGCCATTGTTGAGCATGTCCACGTCGCCTTCCTTGGGGATCCAGTACCTGTAATAGTAGTAGTAGTAAAAACTTGTAAGTTAGCTTATCTTGTCCCTTCAGCTGAAATGATGCAAAGGGGATACTACTACTTTACATTGTCAATTTCGCGTTGCCCTTCTTGTAGCAGCTGCTAATACCACGTGCTTCGATGATCGGCGCAGCCGATGTTGTTTCAATACAGAGTACATGGATGAGGGTAATGATGACCAGCATCATCAGTGCCAAGGTGGTTGTTTTCGTGTTGGTGTTGGAAAGAATGGAATGGTTGGTGTTCATGATGGAAACAAGTAAAAAGTGACAGTGAGGGGTTCGGGTATGTTTATGCTGTTGCGATCAACGCTTGTTTAGTAAGAGTGAAGAGATAATTTTCCAAACAAACGATCCAATCCATGTCCTTTTTATATGTTTTCTCGATTGTAAAGGTGAAGAGTGTCATTCATCATCGACACAGGCTGGGTAACCCAGCGCCACCTTCTCATGGAATCTATGGAAACAAAATGCTTAATTATATTGACAGGTGCTGTCGGAGGATGAGTGGAAACAGGCACCTTTATCCTGATGGATGAACGGGATGGATGCGGTAGTGTTATACAATTTATTTAATGAAATGTGTGCGTAACAAACACAATGACAAAGCCCATCCTATTGGAATGAGAGAGAGAGAGAATACGCCCATGGCTACATGTGTATCCGTAAGTTTAGAGATGGGGCTCTGTTACATGGATGAACAAGAAACGTGGCGTGGCCTTGCTGATCTGAGTATATCCAGTTACCCTCTCTACGGGATGGAAACTGCCGATGTGTAACGTTTCGATGCGTACTCCACTTGTTCCCCGTATCATTAACCGTTTTAACATATACCTACTGCAAAAAGCATTTTAAACATGTCTACCAAAGATAGGCAGTCTCTAATGTTGTCCTTTCCCACTTGGTGTCCTCTGTGCAGCAAACTGGACATTGATACCCAAAAAAAAAAAAATCAAGAAGGGCAAAGTTATCCTCATCGAGTGTAACAAGCGTGACACTGTGGGGGTGCAATGGTGCCCTACACAATAGTGTCTGTAAAAGAGTTACTAAATGTGATCACGGGTGCTGTGAGACAAGCGGCGAACGGATCTTTTTCAGTAATACGCCTTTTTTGCTGGATTTAGACCTTTTATGGAATTATTACTTTCCAAAGTAGGTGGTCTGAACGCTGGTGTGTGTGTTTTCCGCTTTTTCCATTAGCCAAGCTTTAATAAGAAGAAAAATGTCAATGGTTAATTGATTATTACCCAGTACAGTCCACCCAGTCTTCCTTGGTGGTGCTGTCTGTATGTCTGTCTGTTTTTCTGGGGATGGCAAATGCAAAGTCGAATGTATTACTTTTGCTGGATACTCAAATAACACATGTATCATCATCCAGCGGTTCTTTATTTATCTATGAACGTTGCTGCTTTTATCGACTGTACTACTGCTTAGAAGAATTGTACTAATTTGATGAATAATACCAAGGGGCTGTTGCCAAACAAAAAGCCCATTGTTAATTAAAGGATGGAGCTGAGTTCCTTTTTGGAATGATCGGGTTGCGGTTACTCAAAAGATGCAGGAACAACAGCGTGGGGTGGAGATAGTCCTTCCCTACTTCCGGTTGTCAAAACAAATTATGACATCATGCTATTGCTGTTGACAAAAAACGTGGTATATGTAATATTGAGGATGGCCTGTTGTGTGAGTGATAGTAATAGCAGTAGTAGTAGGCTGCTGCTGAAATATGCTGTATTTATGTATAATGCACATACGTCAAGAACAATTGATACATGGTGTACTAGTGTTCGGACGTGTAATATAGCAATGATCATTTATTTTCTCTCCGCTCTGTCTTTCACTATACACTCCTTTAAGTAACACTGTAGAAAAATAGGCACTGATAATATGTACAGTTCTAGGCCGACCTCTAGTACATATACTGGGGCTTGTTACATTTGCACCAAATCACGGAGGCCATATTACGAGCTCTTCATTTTTACACATCTAATCATGGCTGCATGTATAAAGCTTTTACGTGCAACACTAATTGATGCATGATTAGAACTTGTGAAACCACACCTCCTTTGATGTATACTCATGTCCAGGGGTTGTTCCTCCCAGAACACCGTCATCGTTCCATACATTCTAACAATTAATAGCGGGGTATTTCTTATTTCTTTCCCTTTATACATGCATCATTTACACCACGCGACTAGACAACGACGAGGACAATGACACCCGAAAGATGCAAGCCTTCGGAAATGTCTCAAAAGGCGCAAAACGGTACTCTGAGAACGTGGATGTCATATAATATCGGAAAAGGATCTGAGCTTTTGACACACCGTATGCCTCCTCTGCTACCCAAGATGTACAGTACAATCACACACCCCTGGATATTTGTAGTTCGGGTTGGGAACATACATAGAAAGAAGCGCATTTTAATAGAATTTCTCTACCTTGCTCTTGTCCACTCACTATACAACCCTAATTTATACACTACATTCTATAAAACACTTGATTTTCTTTATTTTTTATATACAGATATTCTATAATTTTCAAAACTTACCGGTGTGGAAGCGCAAAGGAATTTAAAAAAGAGAGATTGTGAAACTGCTAAAAGCGAAGCATTTGTAAGACAGACTTGCTTGTCTGACGACAGTCCAAATGCTGCTAATTTTTCTGATGTTGTGAGAATTTCATTTCGCCTATTTCCCAACTTCTCTGAAACGATCCACAACGATGCATTCTAACGATTTGTAGTTTCTATCTAAGATTGTGCCAACATCTAGTATCAGTGTGCCCGTGTGTTTAATCAATAAACAACAGCGAGATGAAAGACGTACCCCACAAAACGCAGGATATCGTCGGGATCGGTCGATAGGGCGGCATAATTAACGATAACAAGACACTTCATTGATCTTGTAGAAGATAAAAAAAATGTAAAACGGCTAAATCAAACCGAGTATCAACAGGTCGTATTTTGGTCTCGCTTTAGAATTCTCCAAACTACCCATTCTTTTGAAACTTACTTTGTGTACTACCCATGCAACCGCTGAGCTCCATTTCTTCGTACACACCTTCGACCAGCGAACGCGATTCGAGGCACTTTATCCTATTTTTGGAGAATTTCCTTTAACGCAGTGTCTTGTATGCTAACAGGGCTCTTCCTTGCGTATCCGATAACCTTACATCCATCATTTTTCAGATGTTGTGTAAGTCCAAACCTCCACGATCTGCTCGTGTCGATATTGGTGGTTGTTGATGTTTTGAGCTAAAAAGACTTTATCTAGTATGACAGTACGCAGTTTCCATCAGCAAGAAATAATATCAGTATTAGAAAGACTCTATTATCAGGTCTCATGACATAGAGGATCTTTTTTTTTTCGATTCGTCCACCTCCGATCCTTTCGCGTGCTATGCCTGCCTTCATGCCTTGTTCTCCTTTGCAAAAGCTGTGAAACAGCCGAGCTTCTTGTCTTCGTACAAGGTGGTGTAACGTTTGGTAATGTTAAATGAGGATGATTCCTGGCGCCTTATACGGTTTCATTACACGGATCAGTTGTGAGAAAGACATTGGCGACAAATTCCTTGGGTTGCGATCCGCAATTTATCTGTCTGAAGCGATGCAAATCGTGTCCATTGTCGTCGTCACCGTTCTCGCGCACCATTAGCCGATGGCTTCTGATACGGACACCCCTTCTATATTATATCCTCTTCAGGTTACACACATCCTATATATATGTATACTTGTGCGGGTGTCCGCAAGGATGTGTTCACTTATTAATGTTACTGTATATCTGTCGATACATTAACAAAAGAGAACAATTAAAGGTACATTAAAAACATTCCTTATTGCTTTTCAAACGTTCAAGAATGTCTCTACGGATGCGTTTATGCGCAGTAGTTTTAATAAAGTATATGAATGCTCCTCAATAAACAATACTTTAATATATATTTTTTATATGTTCAACTTTTTTCTACCTACGTTTATCACCCTACTATCCCATTACTATGGAGCAATTGATTGCCACTACTTACACCGGATCAAATAAGCAAATGTGAAAGCAATTGACGAGTAAGCCGAAAAAATACGACTTTGATGCCGTCTCAACTAATCGAAGTGAGAAGAACGTAAATATCGTGATCCTGTGCGTACATGGTGGAAGCTATCGCAATACACATGGAGTAACTGAAGAAACGCGGGGACGCCAAACAGTGACGAAAACGACCGGCTGCCAATGGATTATGAACTCAAGGCGGTCCGAGAAGGATAAGCACTGGAAAGTAACGAACATCAGCAACGACAACGAGCACAACCACAACCACTCCCCCGACAAGCCTCCTCAATATTACCACCAACACCGCACGCCAACTTTCCATGCCGAGCAGCACATATTATCATTGACAGATCATTCCGTCAGGCCTCTCATGATACATCGATAAGTTCAGAGCCACGAAGACGGCTGAGGGATTTATACAATTTTCGTGCGCAAATATTCCGTGAGGATAATCATGGCGGCTTCAGTAGGATATTCGAGTTCCTCATTGGTAACAACTATATCACTAGATATAAGCTAGACGGCACAGGTAAAAGTCTCGACGCCCTCTTTTTTACCCATGAAACGAGTATAGCAAAAGCACGACGATTCAACGAGATCATTGCTATCGATGCGACGTACAAAACGAGCAGAACCAAGATGCCTCTTGTCAATGTTGTAGGTGTCAGTCATCTCGGTCCATCCAAGCTCAAGAACGTGTTTATTGCCTCTGCTTTCTTGGTAAACGAGAAAGAAGAGTCGTACACCTGGCTCCTTTGGACTATGCGTCAAGTCCCATGGCCAGAAGGAGACGTACGCATCTTTATTACGGACAACGAAAGAGCTTTGATCAACGCCATCGAGTCAACTTTCAAAGATGCAGAGTATATACTTTGCGGGTGGCATATGGAGCAGCATTTACGTAGCATTTTCAGTACTTGCTTTCCACCGAACAGCGAAGAGATAGGCGAAGCCAAAGCTATCATTAAGCAAATGGTTGATGTTAGTAAAAAAGACGAAGCGACTTTTTAGGCTGCCATTGACGCTTATAAGTGTCTGATCGAAAAAGGTGCTCTTGCGTATGCCAACGAAAACCATAAGCGATACAAAAAGCACAAGAAAACAAATTCCAAAGCGAAGCATCATGACGACAGCAGCAATAGCGAGAACGACAGAGATACTGAAGATGATGCAACGTCTGCAATACGTTTGCTGGCAAACAAAAAGAAAGAGAAAATGATGGACTATCTCAACGGGTATGTTAACTACCTTTATCCAATATTTGACTGGAGCTTTTGCCGAGTCGTGCTCAC